CGGTATTTTTTCTCTCTCACACCTCTCCCCATCCATTTTGCCTCAACTTCCTAGATATTTGGGAAATGTTACAATCTACCACAGATACTCCACGATCCACTCTTTAAGTGGACTTTGCTGGCACAGTTACCCTTTCTATTCTACTTTGGTCACAGTGCAAGGAATGGACAAAGTGATCTCAGCTCTGTTGTCCTGACCCCTGCAGACGTAGGCATCTCAGGCGGCTTTTATATTACTGAACTTTAGAAACGTAACTGAGGTTCCATAGGTAGGAGGTCGGTCCCCCAGAGCTCACATAGTCGATAGAAAGAGATGACTACTCCATCAGGTAACTCGGAACCAGCGTAAAGACTAGCCAAGTGCTCTGAAGTGCTATCAACAGGAGCCTCGGTCTTCATCAACTACGTGCAGCCTAGAAAGACTAGGCTCGTAATTCAGGCACTTCACTTAGGTAGTTAAAGTTAGGTGGTGAGAATGCCATCCCGCCTTCTGGGACGCCTCGTTTGGGGCTCTTTTATGTTAGTGTATGTCTGTCTCTAAATCGCGAATAACTTCGTCAGTGTTCACTGATGCTCCAGTCCAACCCCAGCCGCGCAGCTGCTCCTTTACGGGAGAACAGGAGGGCAAGGGAGCATCGTCGTTTGGAGAAGGAACAAACAAACCCTACGACGGAAGCAGTACTGGCTGCAAGTGTTACACCTGGAATAAATGATGAATGTAAGAAAGACTGCAATATTCATTACAAATCCATGGATGAGAGTATATCCCCATAGCTTTGGCAGTCCGGTTCAAAACTGCTTGGTAATTCAGGTTTTGAATCCTACTGCATGCTAAGTGAACAGGGTGGAAGAATAAGCAACATGAAAATTGTTTAAAACAGAGCATTAGAGTTTTCAGGGGAATCCTATTGCATTTCATGCCGAGGGGCAAATCTACTCTGATGGTAACGAAGAAAGGCTTTGAAAAAAGCTGTTACTAAAAAGCAGCTATTTACTGCCTTATCCTCCCACAACTGTTTTTTTCCCTTCCTTGATATTTGTATTAAATATGAAGCAATCAAAGCAGCAATCACACAACTAGAGCATACAACAGACTTCTGAAAAAAAAAAACTACAGGTGGGGTGGGGAGAATGAATATTTCCAACTCAGTGCCATACCCTATAGTTTAGTTCCCTTCATTTATAATATCAACCAAGGCTTGCAGCAGTCTATCATCTCTATGCTTGTATGGTTTGGCATTGTAAAAAAGATCAACGTAGTCACTGTACAGACTTTCTTCTGAGTCTCTCAACTGGGAGGGCTTGTTTAATTTTTCGAGGGCTTGATAGAAGTGTTCATATGGAATATTTAACTTCTCACTTGCAGTCTTCTTTGGCAGTCGCTTCTGAGCCATCTGTCTGCTAAAAGCACTTTGCAGTAAATGCAGCATAGCCTCTGACGGGCTTTTATCTTCTGCTTTGTCACTGCTACTACTGCTGTCTTCTGTGACTTTGGCTTTTTCACTCAGGTTCTCCTGGGTGGTATGGTCCTAGAATACAGGATAAAAAAGGTCAGATGTCAATGAAAAACTGCCTGGACTAAGATTTGCTCTGATTAGTGATTTCCACCTATGTGTGGGTAGAGGCTATTTTTAGCTCAGGAGCCACTTAGCATCTAGAAAAGGACTAGACCATTATTCACCGGAACAGACTACTGAAAGGACTATTTTGCACGAAATATCAAATCCCCCACAACGTACGAATTTATAAAGTCAGATTCCACATCGGCAGGATACGGCATGTCATTTTATAGCAGGATTTGCCCCAGTCTTAAGAGATATTTCTGGCTGTACTACGTGAGACAGTGCCTCAGCAGTCTAACTGAAGGAAGTATATGCAGTGGTGATGGCAGCTCTGATTGCACCACATACCCTTGTGAAAGGACTGAACCAGTGCTTCCATATAACCTTCTCTGTAGATGATCCCACCTGAGAAGAGACAGTGCAGTATGGCTAACGGGCGGCCACAACATAAGGAAACCTTGGAAGACTAATGCCAGGTACAGATGTACAGAGAAGTCGGTGAGAGGTGTGATGTCTCATCATCTCTCTGTTACTGACACAGTAGCATGTGGCTGCGTAGCTTCCTCATTTACACTATCATTGCCTTTCTGACTGAACACTTATTTTACCTTCTTCTGGTTTTTATTATGTCCACCAATCTCCTCCTACAGTACCTCCTGAATCCACTTTTACTTTCTTCCAATTTGTTTTCTTGCACGTGGCTGCCACACCCATGGACACTTATTTCATGTATTTAAAGACTATAACCATATCTCCCTCAATCTTCTCCTTCATGACCTGGCTGAGGAAGGTTAATCTCTCTATACTTTACAGACATCCTAACTGGGGACGGCCTAAATGGGGAGACAAATTGATGTGGTGTGATTAATAAAGTATTCCAAAGATGTTGACATAACCAAATGATGTGTGAAAATGTACAATGGTACCATCCCGTGCATCCAGAAACCCACTGTCACTCTCAGAAGCCTGGAGTATGTTTAGAGCATAGGTGAGACCCTAGTGTGTCCAGTTCTGGGCTGCCCGGTTCAAGAAAGAGTTCAGAGGAGAGCAACCAGGATGACAAAGGGACTGGAGCATCTCCCCTAGGAGGAAAGGCTGAGGGAGCTGGGCTTGTTCAGCCTGGAGAAAAGAAGGCTGAGAGGGGATCTCATCACCACCTACGAATATCTCAAGGGTGGGCGTCCGAGGACGGAGCCAGACTCTTCTCAGTGGTGCCCAGCACCAGGACAAGGGGCCATGGGCACAAACTGAAGCAGAAGAGGTTCCAGCTGAACGTGAGGAAGAACTTGTTGACTGTGAGGGTGCCCGAGCCCTGGCCCAGGCTGCCCGGGGGGCTGTGGAGTCTCCTTCTCTGGAGATCTTCAACCCCCGCCTGGACAAAGTCCTGTGTAACATGCTCTAGGAGAACCTGCTTTAGCAGGGGGGTTGGACTGGGTGATCTTTGGAGGTCCCTTCCAACCCTTGCCATTCTGGGATTCTGTGATTCTATGTAAAGAAGGGGTGACAAAGGAGCTAGCAGCAACAGATCCCCTTGACCAACCCCTCTGAATCAGTGAGGCCCTGACCTTTGTCATGTCTTTTGTTACTAACTCCCTTCCAAACTCCCTGGAAGCACTCCAGCAGGCAAAGCTCCTTTTGGATGCAACGCTTGTTCTCACTGGAATTACATAAATTTAGTGTCTCTGTTGGAGGTGTATTCCTCCCTCCTTGTAGCACTCAACTGTGTTAGGGTTCACTGCTTTAGTATATCCTCTTGCCATCCTGAAACCCTTAGATGTTGGCATATGAAAACACAGACTGATAAAAAGATCAGTTGTTAAGGTGGACAAAATTACAGCACTCAACTCAGAAGTGGTCAGGGGCTAGATGAAATGAATACAGAATGAATATGTGTCTCCTCACTAGGAAAAAAACATCATTTACTTATAAACTGAAAAATATGTAAGGAAAAAAATGAATGTTGCACTACCTCTACAAAGTCTGTCATCTTCTCCACTCCTCTTCTGTCATTTTGCACAGCATTGTAGGATGTGTAGACACGTGGCTGCTTCATATGTTCAGGCTGGGTAGCGGTGCCATGCAAAATCAATTTCCAGTTTACAATCCTTCCTTCATTCTGTATTCTGCTGGACTAAAGGACAAGCATGGCATTAGCAAAGGTTCTCAGGACATAAGAAGAGGAAATAGGACACTTGATTGCACAGCACACAGAACTGATGAAAATAAATTATAAGGCTTTCAATGCCTAAATTTAGACAATTTAAGCACCAAAAGACTGATATATTAGAGACAGGATATATCAGAAAGTGCGATTTAATACAATGGCTTAAATACTCCAAATTTTCACATTTTGGTGCAACATAACAACTATTAATTAATCATGTAAGTGTCAATGGAATTTTATCATAACACAGAATGCTAAAAATGACTGAAGTAGTATTTTGTGTTATGAGTATTTGTTCACTAAGCCATTCCTTGGCAATATCCTCACAAAAGTTACCATTGGAATAACAATTCAGAATAATATTCTGTAGTGGTGTACAACAGCCATCTGAACATAGTTTGTGGAAGTGAGCAACAAATGCTTTGTCCATTAGTTTTGGCACCAGTATTTAAATAGTAGGAAGTGGAAGAGACAAGTACAGAGAACACTGAAACTTTAATTTACCAGAGCTTCCTTCAGAATTTTTGCTCAGTCATTTAGTGACTCAAGATGGCTGCTGAAGCTCTTCTTTTCTAACACAAGTCTACACCAAAGCTTACATACACCACTTACATGACAGCTAAATTATGAGTAACTCTGCATGGGAATCTGTGATTTCAGGTAGGGTCATTAATGTGAAAACTGACTTCAGGAACCACAAAACCCTACATGCTCAGGAAAGAGCGTGCTACCTCTTGAGGACAAAAAGCTTGGTTTATTTTAAGTTTCGGGAGCCTCTCACTTGAAAATGGAAAATGAGAGATATTACAAACAAAATGCGCTTCTTAACTTCGTTCCAAAAAATGCATTATATTACTTACAAAAAGCAGGATATCTGTAACCATGGGGTTATCTATAAGCCTGCAGTATTAACACTACGCTGTTGATAATAATATTTACTTCTGCTGCCTTGTCCATCTGCTTAGTACTTGGCATTATCCTCCTGTTTACCATTTGAGGCCAATAGGGGCTGGAGGCTCAGTGCATGATAGGAAGCATCCAGTTTCTGGCAGGATCTGACCCCTAATGACAAGCTTATTAACAGACAACTTCAATGAAATTCTCCAGAGATGAGCGCGCACTCTCTCTTGGAAGAGAATGATTTTTCAGTTGCCTATCAAGCAGCTTTATTCTGGTGTCTCGCTGTTGTAATCCACATCCCCAGGCGGTTTTAGTAAACTTATTTATTTTATATCTGTAGATTTCTTGGCTTTAATCCTTGAGCGTTGTTCAGCAGTAATTACTCTAAGAACTTTGGGAAAGGTATACAACAGAATAGCTCTCTGAGGTCACCAGAAATTCATTAATTCAAAAGGTTTTGAGTTAATGAAAATTAGGCCCATGTGCTAAGAGAAGACTAGATCTACCCTGTGTTTTCTGCACAAAAACCTAATTTGCAGTTAATCATATGTTAATTGGATTGAATATTTCACTCCATGAATCACAGAAAATTATATTAAGCGATTTCTTTCAGTGACATATAATGTGTGAAAAACACAGGCATTGAATTGTTTTTGACAGGTACGTGTCAGTGAAATGAGGATGGTCCTTTGCATTTATGTGAAGAACAAGAAAACCTGAGCCACTCTTTAATCTTTAACCCAGAGGGATATTTACTGTCAATAAACTACTGTTGTAGCTTGCTTAATGAGAAGGCTCAGTATTCAACATGCTTGGTAGTGGTTAGTAATCATTTTATCCGCATTAGCTTCCCAACATAGCTAGTTAACATACAGGCATACTTACCACATCAGTAATTCTTAAAACCCAGGTGCCTGTTGGATTCTCTCCCCATGTGTGAACAGACATGAAGTCCCAGTTCTTAAAGCCATTGGGAGATTTATCTCTCTCTCTCTCAGCCAGTAAGACAGTGCTGGTCCCTGTGGTAGTGCAAGATCAACAGTAGTGACTGTTCATACATGTCCCCTTCTACTTTTCACATTGCTCAGCTTGCACACCGTCTAGTGCATAGGTAGCCTGGAAAATGCACTGTTTAACAGTGGCTGGTGGGACGGGAAACATGCTAGTTCGTATCAGTCGTTCCTTTATTTATTTTCACAGCAGTATTTAAGAGCACAAAAACTACCACGTTAGGTCATGCTAAAAAGGTCCATCTTGCGCAGTGGCCAGTCTCTAACACAAAAAAGTAGTGGATGCACATAAAGAAGCGTAAGAAAGAGAGGTCACACACAACGGTATTTTCCACTGATGAACAGTTCAGGAAACTTCCGAGATGGAAGTTTTGAAGGCAAACCAGCTCATGCAGAATTGTGAAACCAAAGGCTTATCCTGAATTCATCACAGGTTTGGGGTTTTGTTTTTTTTCGGTGAGTGGATGTAAATTGTTACAGCCTGGAACTCCAACAGGGTGAAAAGCATTTGCATTGTTATTATTATTACAAAAATGCTGCCATTCACAAAGTACTTCTGCAGCAGAAGAGATTCTGCTGCACAGTAGGAAAATTGTTATGCTTGTTTGCATATAAGGAGAGAGCAAGGGAGCTGTATTTACATAATAAGGAGCAGAGAAGCCCCAGGGAGCCTGATCACAAGCTATAAATATATTTAAAGGTAACACCATAAATATAGAAAAGCAATGACATACATCTGGTAATACTGTTTTTCACAGAAGTGGAAAACCAGCAAGAACTAAGGGAAAGAACAGTTTAACCATGATAGCAACACGATGCAATAGTGGAAGCTGCAGCACTTGACTATTGCTACCTCAGCTAAACCCAAAGAAATACGTGCAAAGACGAAGAACATATTACTGTCGTCAGTCTTTCAAACAGGGGTGTTTTTCTAAGATGAAGCCATGCTTCCTATACATTAGCAGTAGAAGAGTGTCTTGGGAGGGGAACGCCTCTATAAAAGTAGAATGGGACCTACTGTTGCTGTCATCTCCATGGCGTACCTAGAGACAGCCCATATATTTACACCCAAACTAAAACAGCTATCTAAGATGGAATTAAATTTGAAACTACCACCAAGAGTCAAGGGTAAAACACCTCACAGCATCATTGCTCCCATAAGACAAAAGATAGACTCAGAAAATGAAGGATTAAGGTTAGGCTTAAAAGGAACCCCAGACAAGGTAGGGCTTGGAGATACACTGTATGTGTCTTAACCCCGCTCTCTGGTGAGGTCCTGCAATAATGATATGAACACGGCTCTACTGGGCTATTATCTGTGAATTACTAGATTAGCCTTCAGTATCAGTGAACTAGATTAGTCTGATGTTAAAATCCATACCTGAAAGCTTATCTGTTTTTTTCAAATATCAGTTGATCCAACGGATCTCACTGTCTACAAAGTTGTTCATACTCTTTTTTTTTTTTTTTTTTTCTTTTCTCCTTATGGTGTTATTTCAGGGCACTGTCAAGATAGCTTGCCATGTTCTAGCACTTTTAGTGTAGTTGTACTAAGGTGCCTAACAGAGACACTGTGTTCTTAAATACACCAATGGGGAGACGTGGTTACATGGAATCTGGGGAGTCAGACACCCTGTTTTCCATTAGTTTGTTAAACCACAGTAAAGCTGATAAGCACTACTGAACTACACTTCATTGTCTGCCAGGAACTCTCAGTTTTTAAAGGTCCTGTTGCCAGAATGAAAATATACTGGAAATGGTGCCTATGTTTCCTGAAGCATGATTTTCAAACTTCTTCTCACAAAAATAACCCAGAACACGTGAAGGCTGGAAAGGGGTTTCAGAGAACCAGCTCTCTGGTCCCCGGGATGCTTTGTCCTCACACTTACCTGTTGGAGGTGACTAGATTTGTCCAACGGTACCTTTAGCTCTTTTTAAACCACTGAAGAACACAGAGGTGTTTCTTAATGAAATAAGCATTACACACTACAGCAACACAAACAAAGTGTGTCTTTGCCTCCTGTACCTGATGGAGATATCAGAGTGACATGAAGATCACCTCTACGGGAATACTCGATCGTTGCCTCAAGCTGCACATGCTCCAAAGATGCAATGGAGTTTTCTTGGCCCTCACAGGCTTTTGTGGGAATTTCAATGATGACTTCCTCGTTTGCTCTTAGTAATCTGGCAAAATTACAGTTCTTCGATTACTCACAGAAACTTTTGATTCTGGATCATTGTGTGAAGCACAAATGACACATTTAACGCCCGTTTCAGAATGATGAGAAAGGAAGAAGTAAAGACAAATGCTACGTTCAGTATTTTTTTGAATGCTCCAGTAAAAACTATGGGAAGTTCTGGAAGCACAGATAGTAGTGCAGTGGACCAAACGATAGGCAGAGTTGTGCAACACACCCTGGAAGCAAGCAAGCAAGTCTGACCGCCAAGGGTTTCTGTCAACACTTCGCTGTCCCACAGAGACTACAAAAAAGCAGTCTTTGCTGTCAGCTGCATCAGAGGACTGTTATCAGACTTATACCTAGTTCCCTCCTTCAAATGTCCAGAGGAGCTTTTATCATGAAGTTAAGATACTGCAGCAGGCACAGCCATTTTAACCCTTTGTAGGCAATGCCACCTCAAGAGAAAAAAAGCTTGCGTCTTCCGTACAATCTCCGTACAGAGAGCTACTGTGCACAGCTTTCTCTGCATAATTCCCATTAATTCTAATGAGAAAGGGGTATCGAAATCTCCACATAAATAACGCTAAACTCGGAATCTTGGGATCTTTGCTTTTATAACACAGAGGACTGCAATAAAGATACATGAACAGCAAGTATTACATACAACAGTACTGGATCAGCACTCTGTGGAAAGGAAAGAGCTCATAAAAGCAAATTGATAGTAGAATAGCATAAATAATGAGGTTACCAAGCAGTGACACTCCAAAACACTGTCATATGTTTCTACAGACAGATTTCTGGTGCACTCATACAGCGTAATTTCGACCTTTGAAATAGCTGTATTTTTTCTAGACAACAAATCCGTAAGGGAACAAGTAGAGATAAAAACGGTCTAGATATCATTATTGATTAACCGGCTTAGTGACTAATTACAACTTACCTGTATGTTGAGCTCAGCTTAGGCTCACTATGCTGGGAGCACTTGTGCTTGTGGCTGCTAAGCCTTTCCAGTGAGCTTTGAGACATTTGTGTTTCATAAAAGACATGCTGTGGATGTGACTAAAGCTCAATATATCACCTTATTTCAACACATACTACGCCTGTTGCAAGAGAAGAACGGCTAAGACCGATTACAGATGTTTTTTTAAAAAAATCCCTGTGAGACTGTGGTATCTTTTTATTCATCTTCTGATAGTGGTCTAAACATTCATATCTTATCTGATCAGGTTCAGCCTCGCAGCATCATCCATCCATACACTGGCTGCACAAGCAGACGTAATAATCTTATCCTTTGTTAAGGCTTCATGCTGGTAATTTACATCAAGCCTTACTCTAAAAAAAGCAAGCAAACCAACGCTGCTTGCCTGCCCCTGAGGAATACAGTAGGGCAAAACCAAATGAATCAAAAGAAATCTCTGAGCCTGGTTGACAGCAATCTGTGCAGAATACCATCCTTCAGGCTTTACTAAGACAGACATAAGCTTAGTTACTGATAATGCAAATTCTTACCTTGGTTCAAAGCTTTTGTCTTTGACAATACACTCTCTCTTTTCTGGTACGCCTTTCCATCTTTTGGGATCAGCTAAATCTACCAACGCATTGGCATTGAGTAGTCCAAACCCAAATCGGCTGTTGACCATCAGCCCTGCTCCATTCTTTTTCCATCCTGGATTTCCAGCCAGTGGATCGTATTCTGAGGTCCACACTACCAAGTGCTGCATATCCCTCCATGTTAAATTTGGGCTGTTGAGAAAATGATCCTGGTTAATTGTTTCAGGGCTACCTACCTTCTCTCAATTATCAGTCTGCAACAGAACATGCTTTGGATGTATGTGGCATCTTACTATTTTAAAATGTAGAGCATGTCGCATGCTGACCCTCCCAATGCTTCTCCAGGTAGACAAGACTTCTGTGTAAATGAAGAGCAGGTATCTAGCACTCGATCTAGCACTATCTAGAAATGGAGTCCAGTTCTTCAAAATTATTCAAAATTAAAGTTAAGTAGCAAAATTAGTATTTCCCACCAGTCTTCATGAGACCTGGACTTTGAAAATCACTGGGTATTTGAATCTATCTGTGATTAACTCTATCCTTTACAGTTTGGCCCTAAGTGTCTTCGCTTATGTCCTCAAAGGAGTATGCAACAAAACATGGAGCTGAACCTAGACCGTTCAAGTACTAAGCCTATGTCCTTAATGCCTGAAGTGTTTTCTGCAAAAAAGCCATTGTCCTGTCCTGTTCTTGTTTACCCTAAGTCATACATTCTGACTACCAGCCCTACAGGATCCGAACCTGCCTGCTCCCTGCCTGCTCTGACAGTCAAGCTTGGGTACCTTCCATTTTATGTCTCATCACTGGCAGAAAAGGTTCTGTAAATTGACTAAAGACTTGATTTAAATTCCTGCAACCTATTGTCTTCAAATTACGTTCTCCTGATACATGTGCAGCCTCACTGCTTCTAAGTGCAGTTGACTGGCACTCCATAAACAGTTGTTGCCAAAGCACAGAATTCGTCAGTCATGACGTTTTACTTACATCGGCTCTGCTTTGCTAGGAAGTTGTCGAGGCAAGTAGCTGCTTATTTTTGTCATCAGGCTGAGCAAGTCTGACTGACAAAAAGAGGAGCTGCAGCAGGAGATGGTGCCACTTTCAAACAGATAACGTTTCAGGGAAGATGGCGGGGGGGCTGAGAGAGAGGAAGCAAAATTTGCTGCTGCCAGTGGTGCAGATGCAGAGGTCCCAGTGTGAGTCTCGGTACATTCATTGTGAAGATCAGCACTTGTCTGACAGAAAAAACAAAAAAACCCAGATTGCATGAATAAATAGTTGTAAATACAGTCGTATCCACACTCACAACCATAAGCATGTATCCTTTATTTGGTGCATATTAATACATTCCTCACCAGCAGAAAAAGTGATGGATGTTTAAATCTGTTCGTATTTCAATCCACTCCTTTTACTTCAGCTATAATTTTTGTATCAAAACGCTTTGTGTTGGAACAAAATACACCCACACTGAATATCTTATTTTATTCTAAGGTTTCACAATAAGTGTTTCAAGCTTACTGGTGAATCACAAAAACAGATCATTGTGTTGGGCCTAGAACATTTAAAATTACTGCTTGCTAGAAAATTACTCATAGGATTAGTATTGGTGTTCTGCTCCCTCTTCAGCAGAAGAAGTATAATTTGCAATGAAACACGTGCTTTATGTGGAAATTAAATACCAAACTCATCTGCCCATGTATCTACATCTCGGCTACGAAGAGAAGCCACTTAGGAAGGACTGATCTCCTGGCTAACTTGGAATGACATTGGTTTAACTCCCATCAGAGTAGCTTATTGTAAAATTAGCATCCACCAGGGCTGAACAGAAACTATAAGTACTGCAACGTTATTCTATCACAGCAATGTTCTTCAATACAAGTTCGTTCTGGCACAGTCAATGAAGGGACACAGAGTGCTCTGCCTGCTTGCTGAGTACCTTCTACAGGTTTGGAACCACTATTATTGCTGTCCTAAGTGGGAACTTGGGGGCTGACAATCTTACAGAAGGTAATGGCAAGGCATATCAGAGGTACTGACTCTTATGGTACACTAACTTCACAGGTTCTTTTTCCTTTTACTCTAAATCTCTCCTCATCTGCTTTTCCTGAAGAATGGGACCATGTCAGACTTCATGCAGAGACCTCCATCATACACAAACAGCAGACAAATTCAGCATGCCGACTTAACTGCATTGACACAATGATTTTGTTTAGCCATTGCTTTACAGTAGAAGATATTCCAGGAACACAATCACTTTTTGGATTATGAATTCCTCAGTGTCTCAAGGCAAAAGCACTAAGCATGTAATACATAACATAAAGCAGGCACTTGAAACCAAGCATTTAAGAGCTCTCACTTGTTATTTGCATATATAATACATTTCTATGTTTGTTCTGAAACTGGTAAAAACAACCTACAATTCTTTGGTCAGTATAATCCCCACTGCTGTATGCTGTGGCCAGAGTTGAAGAGCACTTCTCTGCATACCAGGGAGAAAGGCCTTGCTGAGAAGCACTGCTAATGGAGATAGTGTAAATACTATCAGTGTAACCATCACAGTCACAGTTGTCACCCTGGCGGCCTCCGTTCCCAGAAGCCCACACGAAAATGGAGCCTTTCCCATTTCGGCCCTAGAGAAAATGGAAATGAGAGGTTATCAAAGAGATTTCAGCCTCTGTCATGTATTCTTAACAAAACCTTCCACCCAAAACAGCTGAATATATCAAACATTTTCAGGTAGAAAAGGACAATTTTCCACAAGCACTGCAGAGGACAGAGGCAAGAAACCAGCTACTTGAGGTACCCCTCCTCACACCCTACAGTACACCTCTTAGTTTGACTGGTCTAGGTTTAGTGCTCCAGGTATAGCAACTTCCCTCAGAATAGGTTTTTAGGTTAAAAACAGAGTCTGTGCTCAACAGGTAAGTTTTCCCACACGCTTATGTTTTGGTCTTCCTGGAAAAATGCCCATATTTTAAGAAATGGTGAGTTTATCCGGGTTTATTTCATTTGCCTTTCCTGTAACCACAGGGGTAAGGGTAAGCAGTATGAATGATGTACATGACATGACTTTTCCATGAATTTTTTCTTTTGTAAGGAAGCCTTTCACAGTTAGCATTCACTTGCTGAAAGGCAGTGAACCAGAAAGCACATCTGACTGAAACCCTGCCCTTCTCCTGCAAATCTGTGGGCCAGCACCACCAGTCTGCAGGCGTAGCCACACTCATTCCCTGCTCTGGTCTCCAGGGTGCAATGAAGGAGCAGCAGGTAACAACGATGCTGACAGCTGACAGCATGTAAACCATCACAGCTATCACAGAGGAAACACGTATCACCCCATCCAGCCTTACGCTGTGCTGGTCCTTCAGAGGAGAAAAATCCCTTTTGTGTGAAGAGCAAAAGTTTGTACGTTGCTCATTGCTGATATATGTACACCGACTGGAAACAGCAGTTGAAATACAGATTTTTATCATCCCACTCAGATGAGATTTGAAGTTATTCATGCAAGTGCTAAGGCATTTGCAGCACTTAAAACATTAAAAGTAAAAAATAGTAAGCTGTACTCTTTGTGATACAACTGCTAAAATGGGAAGGACAAGCCACGCCAATTACGGAAAATCAGACGGTATCTTCCTTTGAGAATAAAGGCTGCAGTCCAGAAAAACACCGGTGTGTGTAAACACTTGCTTTGATTTCACTAAGAGCGCTACTAATATCTCACAGGTGCTTAAGTCTAAGCATATGCTTAAGTGCTTGACCAGGGCAGCAATGAAGGCATCAGGGATGAAAATCGTTGGCAACCCCAAAGGAAATCGACTTCAAGCAGAACGGAGACCATCCAGATCCTTGCAAAAGGAAGCCTGACAAACCAATGGGTAAATTTGCTCCCCTTAAGAGATAAGTTGTAAAAAAAGATGCATTCTTCACCAAAAAAATGGTTTTTCAGAGTAAGACCACTGAACACTGGTTCCGTAATTACTGCCTTTAATCCTCCCTCTTCTCTCACTGCCTACCTCTGGGCTTAGATCTCTGTTTGTCACCAGCCCTCTCCTCTCAGTCTCCATTCTTCCCTCAGAGCACGGTTAGTCAGCAGTCAGACTCTTCTTCCTCCTACTTTCCTTCTGTCTGCTGATGTTAATGGCCCTTTTCCCCAAATCCCCTTTCTCTTTGCTGCTGTCCTTCAAGCTTTCCCCCATTTCTCTCCTCTCCTGCCTCTGGCTCAGTCTTCCTCGCTATACTGGTACCTGTCCATCTTTAGATACCTTTTCACCTCACTGGCAAGAGCAAGAGTAGTTTATCAATACATCCTCGGTAGCTCTCAGTTTGCACCCTACTTATCATCCAGCCAGAGCTAAAGAGGATAACATAAAAAAGGACTGTAAAAACTGTTTCCAATACTCTCCATCATGCGTTTTTACTATCTTCGTTTTAATTGGATCACGATACAACACCAATTTATAAACTAATGCAAAGAACATCATACAAGCCCATCCACAGGGTGCTAAAATCCATCACTATTTCACACAGCAAAATATTCACAAAGCAGAAGCTTTGTAATAAATTTTATACATTTTCAGTGCAGAAATCCAATTACTGCTCAGTGCAAAACAAGCAGCAGAGAAAGGGTGGGGGTAGGGCGAGACAAAGGCAGCAAAAGTAAGGATGGAAAAAGAAAGCTTATCTGTGGAGAATGGCAGCTTAAAACCAGCTTAGAAAGCTCTAATGGTGCTTTTTTAAAAGACCTGTGCTGGCCGGTAATTTGTCTGAGCTGTACTATTAAAATGTATCTCCTTTTCAAATATGTTTGAGCAAAGACAGCACAAACCATTTTCATTTTTTTCCCTGATACCGACCATTTTAAAATTCTGTTCTCTGCCACATTTTATTCTATCTTTCTCTTAAGTATCATACCTGTTTTATCCCATACTCAAAAGCCTTCTGTGCCAGCCTCCCGGGTCCCTCCACAGTTTTGCCATCATCATTAGGGCCCCAGCTTGCACTGTAAATATCCACGTGTTCTGGATTGAAACCGATTGAACTGGCTTCAATAGCATCGGTGACTATTCCATCCAGCATACGTATACCTTAACAGAAAAAATCAAGCAGACTGCATTTACTTCCTGTTCCCTCTTCTTTGTCTTCATTAACTGTAAAGTTTCCAGCCAAATTAATCCATAACTATTGCAACCACAGCTCGCTCAGGAGAGTTCACGTCAGTGAGAACCAGCACACTTACCCTGTATTTGCATAGCTCGGTGCTCTCTACAAACATTAAAAAAACCCTCTTAAAATCTTGGTTGCCTCTCATTTACATCTCTCTCTCTTTCTACAGACAGCCAAGAAGATGATGTTTTGCTTACTGCTCCTGCTTTTTCTTACTGCATTGAGCTCTTTCTTCACTCTTTCTTCCTCTCTGTTAGATCTGAAACAAAGACTTCTCAAACTGCTAGCATGTCACTAAAATTAAATAGGTTTTATCAACACCACTTTTATCTTCAAGAGTTCTAAGAGTTTTAGTTCAAAGATGTAGTTCTGACCCTTCTGACTAAAACACTTTGTCCTCACAGTCATTAAGGTTCTGCTGTTTCTGTGACGCTGCTATTTCACTAGCTCTTTAATCTTCGCCACAAAAAATTGTGTTGTTTTACTGCCACGTTTTTTCTACTGTGAGCAATCCCGAGATGCTAGAGATATCTAGCCATTAACATTTTATTAGGAACTGCATGATCTAATCTCCTTCAGAGCAAGCCTGATCTCAGTGGTACTTAAAATTCAGTGGCAGACAGCGGTTCATCTGCACTGGGTCTCTAGCTCTGCAAATCCCCAGCGCTGCAGTAGGGTTGCTACCACTGTCCAGTGCTGGAGGAGGACAGAAATAGCAGAAGTCTGGCAAAATTCCCACCGTGGCATGGCTCTCCCAGCAACAGCAGCAATATAAGAGCCACAGCAGTCAGGATTCAGCTTGTGTTTTCAAGCAATAAAAATGTCTGGGTTGTCTTGAACTTGGCAAGTTAGTACTACAGCAGCTGCACCATTACTGGCAATTGGTGAATTATGAGTACTCATTTTCTAGTGTGTTCCACAAAACGGGGATTTTTCCAAAGCACGCCAGGCAAAATCTGGTCGTTCCATTAAAAAAAAAAAAAAAGAAAAAAGAAAAAAAAGAACACCAAACAACCTCGCCCTTGCCGCTCAGTGTCTTGTTCTTTTTTTATATTATCAAGCAGGAAAAAAAAATACTGTAAGCATAATTCTTTTCCCAAATGGCTGGCCTCTAAGACTCATAATACCTGTGAGATAAAGTTGGGCTTTATTATTTTGTATTAATTAGTGGCAAAGACAGACAAAGGAGTTAATCCGCTCAACCACTGCTACTCCACTATCACTCACGAAGCTGGGAAAAGAGTCAAGGTGTATCCTGTGCCTCAGGTACTAAACCCACCACTTACCCTGGATAGGCTTAAACCTGTAACATTTTAAATACTCATTTTTCATTTGGCTCAGAATTGTGAGATTCTCTTCATACCAGCACACTGTGAGCAAAGATCTGCCTGCATGGAAATGACTGCCAGCTCCGGGTGCGAGCTTGCACCACGTCGTGAGATACTGGGCATGCGGAGAGTACTGTACAGATATTTCCCACAGAAGAAGACAAAGCCAACTCTGCAGATAAATAATGTAGTAAGGAAGAAAACACGAACACTGACAACACGCTGTTCAAGAAAAAAAAAAACCTCTGCCTTGTCTTTGTGCTCTCCAAAAATCCTGCTTGTTTAAGTCAACCCAGGGATTCGATGACTGCAGTGATGCTTCCCTAAGCAGGCTCCAATTATGTCCTACTGCATAAACCCTTTCCTGTTCTCGCACGTGCCCGCTCCCACCATCAGTCCCACAAAATCAAAGGGCAAAGCCCAAGGTAATTTCAGACACATACACGTATCTGCCTGGCAGAAGGCTATTTTTAGCAACGCGTCACTGTGCGGGAACTCTCAGCCCAGTCCTTTGTAAAATGGAGCTTCTTAATCATTTGATTTCCATGGCAGCACCAGGGAAATGTCATAGCACAGCGCTATGGTTAGGTATGCATGGATATATATTCACCCTGCGTTGCTCCAGAGGTGATCGATACACACGCGCGCTTCTTAGCTCTGCGCAGAGCAAGAGGTGACTGTTAAAGCACACTGAAAGGTGCCGCTTTCGGCATTAAGAACTATTTTTTTCACAGAGTGCACAGAAAAGCCTATGGGATTCCGAGCCACTGGGTACCGAAGAGACTAATCAAGGCTTCAGAATAGGGCCAGGCACTGATGTGACTGCTGAGAACACTTGGGATTATTAAGTTTCATGGAAAACAAAAAGATTTTGAATGTAATGGGTTTTTTTACCCCTCAAGGCAAAGTTAAACCGACCTCTGACGCTGAAGGCTAGAGAACAAGGTATTCCGAGTGTCCGGGTTTTTTTGCCTGA